AGTTTTTCTGTCAAGAATGTTTCATGAATGTAGAATATTCTGTTTACTTAAACACATTATATTCTCAAATAATAAAAACCCAAGTATTCTTCGAATTTCATACAAGATTATAATAATCTTACACCTTTATACGTAATATCATTCTGTATTCATTTATGTTATTAAAACTGAAACTTTATCAAATTTAGGTTTTAAAAAGTTTCATGCCAGATTGGAAAATCGACGAAAAGTTAATAATAAAATAAGTTTATAAAAGCAGCGTGCCGCACGAATGTAGGTAACAGAACAAAATAAAAGTTTCAATAGGCCTACCAAACCGATATTAAAAACTAAGAGTCTGTGCGACAGACTAAGAATGAATGTGAACCATAAACAGTGCAAATAAAGTGTGGCAAACAAAACATTAATTACTGAAAAGGAAACTAAACCAAAGTCGCCAAGCAACCAAAACATTAGATCAGAACAGAAGGAAAACGGGAGATGTAAAGGGAAAAAATGATAATATAGAAACAAGTCAATTAACCGAAGCTTCAAAACATCAACCAAAATGGCAACTTAAAGACGAGTTTGGTTCAACATAATCAGAAACCAATCCAAAAGGAATACGCTTATTTGAAACTAGTAGACCCTCAAAGAATGTTCCAGAAGACCCCAGTAAAGTCTATTCCTACCAGATATTTCCTGTTCACTAGACTCGCTCTCGGAAGCCGAGAACTGACACTTGTACTGCTCCTGCTGACCACTTGTAAGTTCTAGCTGGAAATCAGGATCGTGGTATAAGACGGACACTGTCACGAAGAATGGACATGGAAGAAAGCATTGGTTACAGACAAAACTCACAGCATGCAGGTTCAAAGCATACACGGTGATTATAACGCTAAATAATGTACCGTTGGTATTACTGGATGACACGACCTGCTCTCTTTCGATAAAATAACTGATTTTGCACGTTCCCAAACAAGCTAATTTCGTTTATTTTGTAAATTAGTCATTATCTGCATCCGAAAATGAAAATAACAACAATAAACTCTCAATACTTTGATCTACTTTAATTATATTTCATTTCTAAAATAGCAAACAAGTTTGAAAATCAAAACATTCATTCATTTAACATGAGATACTGAATTGGACTTTTTTTCTTTTAGTAGTGGAGGATTACAAAAGATATAAATGGTGATTGGATAGATACACTAACATACCTTACTGAGCAGAAATATTTCAGTAAACAATCATGAGCTGAATACACGGCTTACAGTTAGCACAAATTCGTGGCACTGAAAAACATTAAGGAAATTGAAGCAGACACGTGTCACATCAAGGATTTAACCAAAGGTTCACGGATTTGCAGTAGAGATTATAGACAAACAAATGATCTTATGCAATAAAGCGATGGAAAATATTTTAAAATCAGAATGAATTAACAAACAATATGAAGGAAAATCTGCGTTCATAACACGAGATTAAAATAAATTTTATGACGATTAGATTCGTGCTTAAAAAACCAAGAATTATTTTTGTTACAAATGCGCTTTGTATGCTAGAAATATCAGTCACGCACATTATGCTCTAAAAAGCATGTAATAAAAAAATGAAAGAAATATTAAATGTGAAGATCTGAATAGATATCATGAAACTGTACCTTTTGATTTTGTGCCAGCATCATTGGTTTCGGTTTCCGGAGTTGGTTGCGTCAGAATGACTTGTGCTGGTGGTAACAATAATTGGGGTTTGGGTGGAGTGAAGTTTGGGGGCGGAATACTGTCTGTCGGTGTATCCACATCCTAAAACATCAATAAACTTTGTATTTTACAAAACAAGACTGATTTGAAAATAATTGGTAATTTACAGGATTCTTTAGAGATACCATCTTTCCAAGCAGAATGTCAGTAAAACAGCATTCAATTGATGAATGACACTCATAAATGACAAAAACTCATCATAGAACTCGTATGGCGATCTTAAAACGTGTACCTTAGCTAAACTCTCATTCAAAGAAGTGACCATTTACCAAACTATCTACCAAACGGTAATTTAATATCAACTTATTAAATGAATATTTACTATACAACCTACCAAAAGGTAATTTAACATAGAACCTACCCAAAAGATAATATAATATCAACTTACTAAACGATCATTTACCATACAACCTACCCAAAAGGCAATTTAATATCACCTTACTAAACGAATATTTACCATACAACCTACCCAAAAGGTAACTTAACATAGAACCTACCCAAAAGGCAATTTAATATCACCTTACTAAACGATCATTTACCATACAACCTACCAAAAGGTAATTTAACATAGAACCTACCCAAAAGGCAATTTAATATCACCTTACTAAACGATCATTTACCATACAACCTACCAAAAGGTAATTTAACATAGAACCTACCCAAAAGGCAATTTAATATCACCTTACTAAACGAATATTTACCATACAACCTACCCAAAAGGTAACTTAACATGGAACCTACCCAAAAGGTAATTTAACATAGAACCTACCCAAAAGGCAATTTAATATCAACTTACTAAACGAATATTTAACATACAACCTACTCATATGATGTTTTAACACACAACCTTCCAAAAGGTCATTCAATATTAAACCAATCGAAAAGGTCACATAAAATATAACCTAACAAAAATGCCGTTTAAATTGAAAATAAAAATTGTTGTTTAATGCAAAATATATATAAAAAAGGCCGAGTAGCACTAAATCTAGCCAAAACACTGTTTAACACAACTGAAAAGAATGTACTTAACTAGTCAAAAATAATTCAATCTAGCCCAAACACTGTTTAACACAACTGAAAAAAATGTACTTAACTAGTTAAAAGTAATTCAATCTAGCCAAAACGTCGTTTAACACAACTGAAAAGAATGTACTTAACTAGTCAAAAATAATTCAATCTAGCCCAAACACTGTTTAACACAACTGAAAAGAAAGTCCTTAACTAGTTAAAAATAATTCAACCTTGCCAAAACACTGTTTAACACAACTGAAAAGAAAGTACTTAACTAGTTAAAAATAATTCAATCTAGCCCAAACACTGTTTAACACAACTGTAAAGAAAGTACGTAACTAGTTAAAAATGATTCAATCTAGCAAAATAAAGTACTTAACTAGTTAAAAGTAATTCAATCTTGTCAAAACACTGTTTAACACAAATGAAAAGAAAGTACTTAACTAGTTAAAATGATTCAATCTAGCCAAAACACTGTTTAACACAACTGTAAAGAAAGTACGTAACTAGTTAAAATGATTCAATCTTGTCAAAACACTGTTTAACACAACTGAAAAGAAAGTACTTAACTGGTTAAAAATGATTCAATCTAGCCAAAACACTGTTTAACACAACTGAAAAGAAAGTACTTAACTAGTTAAAATGATTCAATCTAGCCAAAACACTGTTTAACACAACTGTAAAGAAAGTACGTAACTAGTTAAAATGATTCAATCTAGCCAAAACACTGTTTAACACAACTATAAAGAAAGTACGTAACTAGTTAAAATGATTCAATCTTGTCAAAACACTGTTTAACACAACTGAAAAGAAAGTACTTAACTAGTTAAAATGATTCAATCTAGCCAAAACATTGTTTAACTCAACCTACGACAAAAGTACTTTAATGTACATTCTACATAAAAAACACATTTAAAACAATTACAGGTGATAAACCTATTTAAAACACTATAAAGTCGTCTTAAACCATAATATCCAAGCAGACTAACCAATTTGAAGACGCTTGTTAACCACAACAATATTTTACAGCAACAATACACTGGCACCAATCATATTTTCTAATACAATTTAACCACCCGTCTTAGAATAATAACAATACACCGGACAATCCCATTCTATAGTACATCTAATAATCAATATGATAACAATGATCGTTTTACATCTCATCAATGCGCTAATACCTTATAGTTGTGCACTAATGCTGTCTTCAAACTCCGAAAAGAGTTAGAGTTGAGCTGATGAATTTCATCCTGTTTTTAATTTTTACACACAAGTTCTTCATTTTTATATGTACATAACAAATCAGGAACAATAATAATTACATTTTAAGGGTTAAGATAAATAATGACCAATGACCTACTCCTTTATATAAAGTTAGTTTCATAAATTTTATTGTTTATAATATTCATAACTAACTTTTAAAGTATTTTATAAACTTAAAAATATTATTTTGAAGTGTTAGCTTAGTATATTAATGTTCCCCAGTGGCACAGCGGTATCTCTGCGGACTTATAACGCTAGAAATCGGTTTTCGATACCCGTGGTTGGACAGAACACAGATAGCCCATTGTGTATCTTTGTGCTAAATTACAAACATTAATTAAATAGTATATTAATTTAGAATGTAACCTAAGTCTCTTAATTTGGTCGACACTCGCGAGGTTTACGGCCGAAAATGTCGATAACAACGAGGTTATCCAACTGGTGATTCAAATCATTCTAATCATTACGGATTGTAATGTTCTTGTGCATTTATTTATAGAATTAAGTAAAAAGAAAATCTATTTTTTAGAATTGGATTCGTTGATTTACAACTCATTCCCCTCCGTTCAAGGGTACACTGTCGTAAGCAAAAATCTCGACATAGTTCCAGATCTGAATACATACGTGATTTTTTTCTAGTTTTTAGATCTGCTTCTATTTTTGGGACCACTCCCATAATTTTCCGGTCTCTCTTTATCATGTTTAAAGTTGTTAACGACGTCAAAATCATGAAATAGTTTTGTTTCATGTTCTGAGTTTGCTCATTTTCAATTTGTTGTCCCTCCCCCTTAATGGGTCAGCAGTATGTATACAGACTTACAGTCCCGGATTCAATCCCCAGGGATAGACAGAGCTTTGTACTAAAACTACAAAGACGTTTAGTTTATCACTTTAGCGTATAAAAATTGATGAAGGAATTAATAGCGACAGTGTACCCTTGAACGGAGGGGAATGAGTTGTAAATCAACAAATCCAACGACAGTGTACCCTTGAACGGAGGGGAATGAGTTGTAAATCAACAAATCCAACACTAGGTGTCTGTGATTCTTCATCGGCCTTGATCTCCTTGACAACAAGTGATGGAAATATACCAAAGCGTCCATCGATCTCACCTTCCCACCAGCCATCGTCGACGTCATGGACAACTTTTTTGGAGATTCGGATAATCTGTCCCTCTGTGAAACTAAGTTCTTCGTCGCACATAGCTTCATAGTCAAACAATGCCTGACAAAACCTCTCTGAAAAAAAAAATCAATCCAGAAATGTAAGCTTCAACTTTCATCGAATATCAAATTCTTCCATAATAAATTATAGTTAAGGAGAATTTGTGATACTAACCCAAACTGTCAAAAATGACGATATTCAAACTAGGAATTAACTTTTGTAACCAGAGCCACTTTTATGATGATGTCATCGAATAATAACTACAAAGTTGTTCAACAGAATAAGCCTAACTAACAAATAAACCAGGAACGCCGCAATTCGGGTCAACAACTCCATAAAAATGGCGCTGTAAAATTTCCCATGTTAAAACTGGACTGTCTCTATAGCAACTGAACCTATCAAAATGACCAATAAGAAGTGTTATATAAAAACATTATATAAATTACTCAACAAATATTAATTAGATTACTAAAAATCAAAAACGTTGTTCCATTGGTTAGGCTTAACGGACCAGGTTCAGTATGTGTTAGGCTAACCTTCACTACCGCTAATGAATTCTGAATCACATTACTGAGTAATAAAGAATACGTAAAAAAAACAGTAATACCAAACTCTGTTACTTCAAATCTTTAATATGTAGATTTATAGGTTTCGGTGTCGAACAGTGTTTGATTCTTTTAATATATTATTCTAGCCATGTTACTCTTTTTACGTCATTACAAAGTTATCTACGTTTTATCTTCTACCGAAGAACACTTTAGATAGGAAATGGGGATTAAATGCTGGTAATGTGGATAATACTGCTTACCGCCAGAGAGCGCTGGAGGAGAGTTGTTAAGCTCATCAACAGGAACAACATCGTCGGTGGCTCCATCTATTTGGGTGTTATCAGGTGGTGATGAAAAAGATTCGGACGTATAATCAACGGATGAGAAAGACGCGGGTGCTGGCTGAATAGATGATACAAAATCCTGCTCATCAGCTATTTCTACGTAGTTCTGGGGAATGTAGCCTTCCTCGTCCCTGTAATTCCGTGCCTTCAAAGAGCGAGAAACAGCAACAATATTAGTAAACTGTTAACATAAACCTCAAAGTTAAATCTGTCAAAATGAGTGTTACCAGAAATACCAATTTACTCCCATCAGAAATACTGCACTTTCAGATTTAAGACCCGGCATGACCAGGTGATTAGGGCGCTTGACTCGCAATCTGAGGGTCGCGGTTCTAATCCTCGTCCCACCAAACATGCTCGCCCTTTTAGCCGTGGGGTCATTATAATGTGACGGTCAATTCCACTATTCGTTGGTAAAAGGGTAGTCAGAGAGTTGGCGGTGGGTGGTGATGACTAGCTGCCTTCCCTCTAGTCTTTCACTGCTAAATTAGGGACGGCAAGCGCAGATAGCCCTCGTGTAGCTTTGTGTGAAATTCAAAAACAAAACAAACAATTATAAGATAACTCTCGATAAAAAAACACTATGATAAGTTCCTGGCTTATGTGAACCCCCTTCCCCCCAACTTGAATAACTTCCTGGCTTATGTGAACCCTCCCCCAACCTTAATAACTTCCTGACTTATGTGAACCCTCCCCCAACCTTAATAATTTCCTGACTTATGTGAGCCCCCTTCCCCCCAACTCGAATAACTTCCTGACTTATGTGAACCCTCCCCCAACCTTAATAATTTCCTGACTTATGTGAGCCCCCTTCCCCCCAACTTGAATAACTTCCTGGCTTATGTGAGCTCCTAGTATTAACATTGCCTGTACTATGTAAGCCCCATCTTCATGGCTCACGTGAAATGCCAGTTATTTCAAAAGGGTCCTCCGTGTCAATGAAACGCCTTCATTCATTGCCACCCCCACCCCCTTGAAATGGAAAACTTTATCAACAAGGTTGCAAAATTTACACTAATCTGGCAGTTATCTGTTTTCAGACACTTTATATATCAAGCAACCAAACAATGTAAATAAAATGTAAAATAACTTTCTCTCGTTCTTTTCAAATAGTTTCCGTTACCTAGTGTACACTTAAAATCAAAAATAAATGCTGTACAAAAACATAACGAAAACGTAAGTTGCCAGAGATCCATTATTTCACTCAATCGTTACCCGTTACAACCAACAAATGTATAAGAATAACTGCCAGTTACACATTTCAATACTCTACACAAAAGACTCTCACCTTCACCCAACCATCTCCGTCTCCGTCTCCAACATTTCAATACTCTACACAAAAGACTCTCACCTTCACCCAACCATCTCCGTCTCCAACATTTCAATACTCTACACAAAAGACTCTCACCTTCACCCAACCATCTCCTTCTCCAACATTTCAATACTCTACACAAAAGACTCTCACCTTTACCCAACCATCT